CTGCGTGTTGCAACCGGCTCCGGTTACCTGAGGACACTGAAATTGGAGGCGGCTGAATCTTGGAAGTGTTCTCTATTTCAGGTTCCAGCTTTGCTTTTCTTCCTTCCTTTTTCTCTGGCCAGGGTGGCACTAAGCCTGTTCTCTCTGCTCCCCAGTGGGGACTAAGGCCTGCTCTGTGGGGGTTTGCTGCTCGGTGCGTGCCGCATCATTCTCCAGCAGCGCACAGGGTGAGTGGGGAAGGAGGGCAGGGGTGTGCGGGCTGCCAGGTCAGGCTGGAGTCCTTGCAGAGGTGAATTCAGGTGTCCCTGGTGTTGCTGCTGTAGGAGAGTGGTGGGGCTTGAGAAGGATCCCATCCCTCCTGCCATCAGATGCTGGCAACATGAGCCTGTTTACCTTAGTAAATACCTGGTAATGTGGACCCAGGCCTTCCTCTGGACTTGGCAGAGCTGATGACCTGTAAGAGAACAGAATGTCTGGGTGGAAACTGAATGTTTTCAGTTAGACAGCTGTGGCACATTGGCTTTGCTTGTACTGATGGCAAAGCTGCCCTGTCTCAAATAGAAGTGGGCTCCTGGCCTTGCTTTGAGGTGCCTCTCCTGGGGCTGCATCTCAGCATCGTGTCCCCACTCAGTGCCCAGGGCTGCCCCATCCCAGTGCAGAATCCAGCACTGCTCCTGTTATTCCTCATGTGGCTGCCAATACACATCCCTCTAATCTGTTAAGATCTCTCTGCAATGCTTTTCCTCCCTCCAGGGAAGCAGCAGCTCTTCCCAGTTCAATGTCTTCTGCAAACTGACTCAGTGTGTCTTCCAGCCCTGGATCCAAGTTGAAGAAGACATCAAAGAGAACTGGCCCCAAAACTAAGCCCTGCAAACCCTAGCAGTGACTGAAGCAGCAAAAGGGTTGCTCTGATTTGCATCCACTGTAAGGGATAAGCAGAGTGGCACTAGGACAGAAACTATCTGTAACTATGCCAGTGTCTCACTTGAATGCACCACATTTTTTCCTTTCCTTTGGGAAGGGATTTTTGGATGTCACCTGGAATGCCCTTTGCTCCTGATTCATATATGAACTACATTTGTGTTTGGTTGTTTGTTTTGAGACATGACAGGCAGAGGCTGGAGCTGCTGCCAGCCTGGTGCAGTGCTGATATGGAGAAAAGTCCTGGGGACCCTGTGGGCAGTTTGTTGCAATGGGGGCAGCTCTCCCTCCCCTCTGCCATGGCAGCTCCCTGTGTGTTTGCCCCCCTGTAGGGCAAACATGTTGGCTTATCAGAGCCTCTCTCAGGGAGGATGGTACTCAGAGACCTAAAATGCACTGTTGGCTCTGGCAGCTGCCACACTGCCTCTGCTGAAGGAGTGCTGGACTCGTTTTCATCCCAACACCTGCTGAGGATTGTCTCGGAAATCCAAAGGAGAAAATAATCTGTGTGCTGTTCTGATTGCTTTGTGGGAAAATTGAGAAGAGTTTGTGCAGATCCTGCTTTGTAAGGACAGGAGATGTGTGCAGGAGATTGTGGCAGGGTCAGCCTTGAGAGCCTACAACTGCAAAACTCCTGTTTTCCAGAGCAGGAACTTACATAAAGAACCACTGTGCTTACAGCAGTACAGAGCATTGGTCGCTTCAACATTTGAAGCAATTTTCTCAACATCTTCATCATTTGAAGGGAAGATCTCAAGAACTGCATGAGGTACAGCTCGAGAGCAGCATGAAGTACACATCCCTGTTATCTTTCTGCCTTTTCCAGTGACTTCTCAGCCCCTGTGCCTGCTTGTCCACCAGCCCTGCTCTGACTTTGGCTTTTGGCATGCTGCTGCTGTGCAGAGGGTGCCCAGTGCTCAGTGATGGTGTCGGGACACGTCCTGCAGGGCAGTGAGTTCCCAGGGGAAGGAGGCTGGCAGCCCCATCACGAAGTGCTGTCGAGTGCTGGAAGAAAAGTGTCACTTCTTGGCGGGGTTTTGCTTTTCCTGGTTACATCAGATGTAATCTCACAGCTGAAAGCTCGAATTTTAACTCGTCCGAGTCTTGTTTCAGCGGGCATTGATGTGAAGCATCCTGTGTTGGCATGAGTAATTTGGAATCGGTCAGAGATTCCTATGTACACCCTGCCCATTCCCATGGGAAAGTGGCTGGTGGGCAGGTTTCCCATATATTGCCTGGCAGAAGGGATAAAGGTTGGGATGCCCTGGAGCTTTGCCCAGGAATGATTATGGTGCTCGTGCGTGAAGCCCGGCCCTGGGAGGGGAGCGGGGTGTCTGTCCCCAGCCGTGGTGACAACAGGTTGCTGCGTGCCAGGTCGGCTGGCAGCTCCAACAGTGGGGTCATGTTGGCATCAGCATAAGCAGGAGCCTGAAGAAGAATAGCAGAGGGGTTGGACTGAATGCTAAATCACAGGGAACAGCCCCGACTTGTTCACCGAGCGTCGCTAGTTTGGTTACATCATGCTTGGTGTTGGTCAAGAGAGATGGGCTGATAGCTGCTGAGCTTTCAGCAGGGCTGCTTGCCTCCTGCAGGGCTGTGTGTCTGGGGGGCCAGGCGGGTGGCAGAGGGGCCAGGAAAGCTGCAGGAGCTGCAGGGCTGTGGTGTGGGGTTGTGGCTGTGCATCCCTGCTGGAGGAGCTGAAATGGCAGTCCTGAAATGAGCCGTATGCAGCTGCCAGCTGAGATGATGCTCGGGTTGGGGAAACCACTGATGAATACAGGAAGGAAAATTTAACACCTTTGCTGAGTTTATCAGTTTCTGAGCTGCCCAAAATGGAATAAAATAAATAAATAAAAATCTGTGGTACAGCGTGGCTGGCTGGGAGCGTCAGACTGCCAGCAGCGCTCTGGGCGACGATGACATCTAGTGGCTGCTGTGCCCGGCCAGGCAGCAGCTCTGGGACAAGGAGCTGAGCTCCAGCCTAGGCTGCACAGCAGCGCCTCGGGCAGGGCCAGGTAGGGGCAGCCCTGCTCTGCATCCCCCTCAGTGCTGCACTGAGTTCAGGGATGGCTGTGGCTGGCAGGGCAGCAGCACATGGGTTTGGCTTGTGTCACATAGGATCTGCTTCCTGCTCTGAGCACCGAGCCAGTGCAGGACAGATCCCTCCCCAGAACAGTTAGGTGCAAGCTTTAATGGAAGGGTCCCTTTGAGCTGGCCTGATGCACTGTGTGCATGCAGAGGGGAAGCAGAGCTGAAGCTGTCACAGATGTTGCAGCTGCACAGTTCTCACCACTGAGCTTGTAGGTGGAGGTATTTGCTCAAAGTAACTTGTACATTTAGCCCTTAATTCAAATGTGAGTGTATGCGGATTGGACACAAAAGAATCACAGGATGGGTTGAAAAGGACCACAAGGATCATCTAGTTTCAGCCCCACTGCTATATGCAGGGTCACAGCCACCAGACCAGGCTGCCCAGAGCCACATCCAGCCTGGAAGGCATCGCTAGTTTCCAGCTTACTTTACCACGTGTGTTTAAATGCTGATTGTAGCCTAGAATAAAAAGACAAAACAGCTTTGCTTTTTGCTTGGGTGCACACAGCTTCCTCAGGCTGATTTCATCGCAGTCCTTCAGCGGTGCCATCCCCAAAGGCCACTGCTCTTCCAGCTGCGATGTGCAGGAGGAGCTGTGCATGGACCAGGGGACTGGCAGCTCCCAGAGTGTGAAACCCAGCCCTTGTGCCCTCCTTTGTGTGCTGTGAGCACGAGGTGCTGGATGTTGATGCCTCTTTGCCCCGCTTTGGGAGCTAAGAGGATTCACAGGGATGTTCTGCTCTCTCGTGGGCATGGAGCAGGCTCACTGCTGCTTGCTATCCTCAGGGATGCGGGTTTTATATCTGCCAAGCAAATAAATACAAACCACTCGTCTCTGGAGGATGATAAAAAGTAAACTATCTATTTTCTGTGATAAAGCACTGGAAATAGTTGGAATTTAAGATAATTATCTTGATTGCTTTTTATAGCACCCTGCGAAGACTGAAATCTAATTTGTTTCTCTCTAACAGGGAGCTCCTGCTGATGACTCAGACAAAAATCCATTTGCCTTATTGACAAACTTGTCTGTTTGGTTTTCAGGGCAGTGTTGTTGCAGAAGGGACATACAGGTGGTTACTCAGCAGTGAGTTTTTAATACATGTTCAGAGTTTGATATCTAGTAGCTGGAGGAGAGAATGAAGCTGATGCAATCGGAGGGAAGTTACTTGGCATTGCTACAGATGGCTGTAAATTACTTCATGCTCTGCAGTGGGTGCAGCAAGTGGTAGAGATCAACCAGATGTACAGGAGCTTGCAGGGAAGCTGCAGGAAGGGTGGCTGCGCACAAAATCTGTGTCTGAGGGTGCTGGGCACTCCTCATGTGACTGCAATTTCGGGGTCTTCTGCTGCTCTGGAGCTGGGGCCCTATGGGAAGCAGTTGTCCGTGCTGTTTTCTCAGCTGTTGTTGAGGAAGGAGTGCCTTCTGCCTGCTCTGCCCCTGCCTGCTCAGCAGCTGAGCTGCTGGAGGAACCTCCTGAAGTTGCATCAGCCTGATTCGCAGACACACGTGGCCCTAATGTGAAACCCCTCACATTGCTCCTCTGCTGAGAGGATGGAAAATGAAATACAGAGGTGATGGAGCATGGCCGTGCCGTGGTGGGGCTTGTAACTGAGGGTTTCTGGGCTTCTCTCTCACTGGAACCCAACGCTCACATTGACTGCCCTGCGTTGCTCTGCAGTACGGGCTGCTGTGTGCTGCTGTGCCCTCAAGGATGAGTGTAGAGGATGGTCATAGAAAAAGTAACGTTCTTCCAGAATACATTCACATTGAGTCAGTTCTTCCATCGCCGAGTTTGAGACTTTCCTTGTTTAATGAAGTAAACAGTTTAATTTGCATGTTTCTATTAGCAAGCATAGCAGGTGTGCATGCCTTGTAGTTCTTCACTCCTTTTGTCCTTGCAGTCAGAAAGCAGCAGCTGCGTTCTCTGGGCAGGCTTCTCAGCATCACCACCTCCCTGCCTGTTTGACCCCTGTTCTTTTCTCTTTAGGAATTGACTACAAGACTACTACCATCCTGCTGGACGGCAGAAGGGTCAAGCTGGAGCTCTGGTGAGTTTGGCTTCTGAGCTGCACCACAACATGGCCAGTGCAGAGCATCCCTGGCTGTATGCTGAGGCTTGGTAGCTCCTCTACCCAGTAAGTTATCCTAGTGAATGAGACCCCTTTCTGTGACAGAGCAGCAGCAGCATGCTGTCCTTTGCCAAAGTGATTCCATTTCAGCCTTTCTCCACCACAGCTGACTCCATTCCCATACAGCTCTAAGGGAGTGATACTGTTTTGAAGGTAATACTGGGCTCCACTGAAATCCTAGAGTTGGAAACAAATAGAATTAGGAGGACAAAGCCCTCAGTTCCTACGGAAGCCTGGATTTGTCCATGACTTGGTCACCATACAGTCAGTGCCTGGAGAGCAGGGTGTATCCCTGGCACTGGGGTGGAGAAGTGAGAGCACTGCACTGAGAGGTGACCCTTCCTTACCTGTCAGCACTGGAAGAAGAGCTGGAGCCCATCTGGTCCTGCTCTGAGATATAAACTGCTAAGAAGATGCCCCAACAGTGCAGGAGGAATAGCCTGCCCCTGTTGTGCTTCAGCTGGATCGAGTAGGGAGTGACACAGGTCCTGAAACATGAAAGCTAACTTGTCTACCAAGGCGTGTATGAAATAAGTGGAATATTAGTGTTCTGTGTGAACTGTTACACTGGGAATGAATGACACATTCTCAGCCTCAGAGACTGACTCTAAGGGTGTATGATTTCATGGTTTAATTAGAATCCTGCTCTCTCAGGAACTGGTGTCCTCATTTTTCTAGCAAACAGCTCATTTATCTCTCTGCCCTATGTGATTGCATACGCTCCTTCTATTTTGTGTTTCCCTTTCTTGTAAGGTGCCACTTTTCCCATTTGTAGCTCAGTGGGAGATGTGGAGTCTGGGATTTGTTTCTTCCTACCTTTCACAGGTTTTCTTTGTTTCAGGGACACGTCGGGGCAAGGCAGATTTTGCACCATTTTCAGGTCGTACTCCAGAGGAGCCCAGGTGAGCACTGCTGTCCCGTGTTTGACAGGAGCCAGTCGTTTTCTTTGGGCTGTAACAATCCTTCATGCCGTAGCAAAAAGCTCTGAGGCAAATCAAGCATCAAAAGGATGGGATCTGTGAAATACCGAGAGGCACCACAGGTCTTCCTGTGCTCTGGTTTTCTTGTTTTATGGTATGATAGGAGACAGAGGAGTGAGTGACACTCCTGGGCTGCTGCTGGGACGTTCTGTAATGGATTACTGCCTGTTGTTTCTAGACGAGGGTTGAGAAGTTGGAATTACAGAGAATGAGGCAATTCTAACCTGAGATCTGCCTTAGCTTTAGTGTGGGGGCTCCTAATTTCAGAGGCTTATCAGGTATGTTTCAAAACAACACCAGCTTTCCCAATGGAGTTCTTCCTCTGTATTGCCACCAAATCAGTTCCAAAAATAAGGTGGCTCCTGCTTGTACTTTCGGTGCAGGCTTGAAACTAAAGCAGCTCACTTGGATCTTAAACTAAGTTCCTTAAAACATGAAACAGAGAGTTAAATTTTGAGCTTCTCCTTTGGGCCTTGTTCCAGAATAGCATCTAGATGGTGAATGGCTAGTAAAATCTTTTGGTCTTCTGAAAGAAATGCTATTTAACAGTGCTTTTTTGATGTATTAATAGTCATCCTTTGAGTAACATCCCAGAGTCCCTCCAGATAAAGGATCATTAGCTTAAAAAAAAAATAAAAATCTCATTAAGTTAAAAGAACTACAGTGATTGCCTTTCTTTTCTTATTCAGAAAGTTTGGCAAAAGTCCTTCTACTTTACACAGAACTTCACCCTGCTCACACTGTATTTCAGAGAACTGTACAGAGCTCCAGTCCTAATGCAACCTGCATGCTTGAGGTGGTGTCCTTTCCCTTATAAGCAAGCAATGGGGCACTGTGGTTTTCTGGTTGCCACACGGCTTGGCTTTGGGCAGTCTTCCTGAGACCTTGCTGTCAAATGCCCAAATCAAACAGGCAGCAGCAAGCACAGTGTCTGCATAGGGCTCCAACCAGCAGAGCCTGCACAGTGTGTGCCAGAACTTGTGGCTGCCGTGTGATGAACTGGGACAGATGGGAAAGGTGAAAGAAACGGTGGTGAGAATGTTCAGACGGATCAAGATATGTGTCTGTTTAGCAACTGAAGCAGAGCTGTAAGGCACTGGGAGTGCATCTGTTGGGTTCCTGCAGCCTGTCTTCTGCACACAGCACATCTGAAACTGCTTTCTTTTACCTTCCTTCCTTGTAATGAGGTTCTTGATCGTGTTTGGTTTAGAGGTAACATCTTACCCTTCTGCTTTATTCATCAGCATTGCTTTAGGAACTCTCACTGTACAGTGGGGAAGGTTTTTTTGCCTTGTCCATCTTACCTGCACACCGTCCTCAAGGAAACACTTGGACAGGCATTCAAGTAAATGTGATCAGCCAGCTTGGCAGAGGCACCTGTAACATGAATGGTCTATTGCTGAGTGCTGGAGTATGCACTTCACTTAGGCAACAGAGTGCAGCTTATGCTTCTTTCTCAGGGTCTGTCTTTTGTCTGTGCCATGAATCCCTGTTGCAGAGAACTGTTGTGATGCCTTGGTCCCAACAACAACCAGTCTTTACCCTTTGTAACTGCAAAACAGCCAGAAGCAGCAAGCCTGCCTGAAGAAGAGAGAGCTCCCAAGTGAAACATCTCCACTGCCTGCTCAAAGATGTTCTTGTGAGGAGTGCTGCACAGCGAAGAGGGAGCGGGTGCCTTCTGAAGGCTGAGAGCTGCAGCCCTGGTGCAGTTCTCTCCAGGTCTGAAGTACAGCTTCAGGTGGTTGGCTCCCATGTGGCATCCCAGCAGTGCTCCTGAATGAGCAGCAATGCAAGTGTCTCTGAAATAACCTCCACATCTTCTGAAAGCAGAAAGTATGCTAATTCAAACTCTTCATGGTTAACCAATGCAAGAGGGATGTTAGATTTGAATGATGAAGATCTCTGCTGCAGGAACAGGCTTGAATAGTTGTTGGCTTCTGCATGCTGGAAATAAGTACTGTCAAAGCTGGGCAGAGCTGCCCTTCCTCTGGGAGCAAGCTGCCACCTAGTAGTTGGTAACACAGTTTTATTGATAGCATAAAGACAGCTCAACCCAGTGTGGTCTGGGTGGTGAGGAAGGCATGAAGTGTTCCTGAGTTCCCTTGTTTCTTCCAGACGTGCTCGATGCTGTGTGTTGGGCTGAGTTTCTGTGCTTCAGCACTCTGCTTTCCTCTCTTCTCTTTTGGTGTCCTCAGACTTCAGGAGTTCTGTGGGAAGCCTGATGCAAGCACTGTTGGAAGCAAGAGAAACAGCTTTTTCTAACCTAACAAACCAGGAGCTCAGGAAGAGCAAAGAGATGCAAGAGGGATTAAACTCTGCTTAAAGTGCAGCATGATATTTGTGCAAGAACAGCTTGTTGTAAACCAGCCATGAACACCTTCATGCTGGAAACAAGCAGAAGGCTTTTATTGAGCTGAGATGGGGCTTCTGGGCTGGGCTTCCTTTAAAGAATAACAAGGACTAACTCAGTGAGAGCTGGGTTTCCAGAGAGCTGTGAGGCTGCTGGGAGAGCAGGAGGTGCTCAGGTGCCATGGCCTGGCCCTTGCTGGAGCTGGCTGAGAAGGGGTACATGTACATGAGTGGAGAGAGCTTAGGAAAATACACAGAACAGCTGCTGGGGGAAAAGCATCTGCAAGTAAGGGAAGCACACCTGGCTCCCCTTCCCACCTCGTTGCTTTTTGAATGGAATGATAAGAATTTAATCTCCTGAAGTTAAACCCTTGCTAAATGAAAAAGTGGTCCCCGGGTAGGAGCCAGACCTTGTGAGCTTTCCTTTCTGACACAGCAGAGCTTTGTGCTTTTTCTCAACCTGGGCTGCAGGATTCTTTCTGAGCACCTTGGTGCCTTGCCCAGGGTTCCATGCTGCTGTTCAGGCTTCTGGCTCTGGAGCTGTGTGGTTTTCTTGTTGGGGAGGAATGTCGCCCTGTTGGAAACATCTCAGAGTAGCCTTGCTGTCCCTGGTGAGCTGGCTTCTAATGAGGGGACCTCTTTCAACCAATGCAGACAAGTCCCAGCTCTCCAGGCAGTGTGACAGAAGAAGTCCTTCAGGAATGGTTACAGACTACCTACAGAAAGTCAAAATGACATTGAGGAACGCTCCCATCTTACAGCAAGGCTGCAGCCCTAACAGAACAATGAGTGTTGTTGAGTTCTGCTTTGGCAGCAGGTTTGAGTGGTTGCTGTCTGTCCCACTCAGGGCTTCTCAGCACGCAGAAAGCTGTGGGCTTTTTGGCAGCTCAGCAGGCTCTGAGATGCAGGCTGTGCAGCTTTCAGGGTGCTGCAAACACTCTACCTGCCTCTGGTCATTCTGAGGGCATCCAGCTGCTGGAGGAGTCAGCTCTGCTTGTGACAGTGCTTACTGCCAGCTCAGTGATAAATAACCCCCCATGTGTTACGCCGTTGGGAAATGCTTTGGCAGCAGGGAGCAGTGCCCTGGGCCAAGGTCCCAGGTGCCAGCTGGAGAAGGGACATGGTGTTCTCCTTGCTGTCTTTGTTTGTGGCTTACTTAGTCCTGCGGGCTGCAAAAGTCCAGTCTGGGGGTTCTTCCAGGCTTCCTCAGCAACCAACAGCTTTGTTCCATCAGTGCACAGTAGCAGCAAGTGAGGCTCTCCTGGCTGCCCTGTCCTCTGCGTGCCGAGGTTTGTGGCAGTGGTGGGAGCGCTTGTTTTCAAGCACGCTGCTTCTGCCACCTTTCAAAGCTTGCAGATCTGCTTGCTGCAGGTGCTTAAGCCAGACAGAGATGTGGTTTGATTCTCTTTGATTATGTGGACAGGACTTTGTGTGAGCTCCTGCTGTAAACAAGCCTGACTTCTGGCAGTGTAAGGGTCCACGTGTGCTGCTGGGTACAATAACAGATTATCCCTGTTCTTTGTTCACTGCGTGATGCACTCACGTGGAAATCTGTCACTGGGAGCTCAGGCTTGCACCAATCCCAGAAGTGTGGAACAAAAGCAGGCTGGAAATGGACTTTGAAAATGAACTGTGAAAAATCCCAGGACAGTGCTGGGGGATAAAGTCTTCTCCCACCCACCTAGGGGCAGGCTGGGGAGAGGCTGCTCAGCTCAGGTGCTCTCACAAGGTGTCTTGTGATGCTAAATACTGAGAGGTATGGAGATATTGAGGTGTTGAGAGCCATCGGGGCACTTAAAGAAGGTTTTAGGCTGCAGATGGGAATCTGTTCATCTGTCTGGTTGATCACAATTCTGCACATGCTAATCCACAGGAATCTTTTTTCTTTATAAACCTGGAAGAAACAAAAAAGCCAACAGCTCTTCCTCAGAGCTGTCTGCAGAGCTGGAGCCAGCTCCCTGTGTGCGTGTGTGTCTGCAAGCTGTTCTTTGCAGGGGAGAAAACAGCGATGTTCATTTGGGAGGCAGTGTCTGGAGCACACCTGTGCTGCCTGGGAGAAGCACAAGGTCCCCTGGCTGAGCCCCACGTGGAGCTGCTTCCTCCCATTTGCCCCAGCTGGGGAGGATGGAGACAGGATTGGGGCACTGGGCAGTGTGGCCTTGGTGTCTGCTCTTGGGAAGCTTTGCTTGACAATCTGAACTCAAAGTGTGTGTGTGGAGTTGTGTTATGACTTGGGAAGCTGTGCTGGCAGGCAGTGTAGAGTTAGAGAGCGTGATCTTGACCTTCCACTTGGATCCTGAGAACTTGGGGTTGTGGTTTTGCTGATGTTTTATCCTGATTGCTCTGCAAAGCAGATCCAGGCTGCAGCTGCCAGCAAGCTTAAAGCCACGCTGCTCTGAGAGCGTGGTTCTGGCAGAAGCTGTCCTCACAAACCAGCTCTTGGGTCTGTTTCTGTTGGCTCAAGGAACTTGTCAGTCCAGAAGAAAAGCAAGTAGGGCCTATTGAATGCCCTGGCAGTTTGTCTTGGAAGGAGGTCCTCAAACCTCTTCCTCTGTTATTTCCTGATTATCATTCGTTTACATGTGCAGCTTTGGAAGTTGGAAGTCAAAACAGGCAGAACAAATGAGGAAAGTAGAGGTTCCCCCCCAGTCCTGTCTTTTTTTTTTCCCCACAGAATGCACTTTATTTTAGTGATGTCTCTCTCCTGGTAGCAGGTAGTTCTCAATTTTGTCACCATAAGATCTCCTTTGCACCAGGACTTGCTGTAGGGCTGGCTGTTCCCTGCGGGTTCCTGATTCCAGGAGGACTGGCTCTGCCCAGCTGCCTGCCCTGTGACACCCTGCAGTCAGGCTTGGGCTGTTTGCTTTGCTCTCAGCTCAGTCCAGCTGCCTTCCACGTGAGCTGGATCTGTCCCCAGAAGCACTTCTGGCTCGCTCACGGGGCTGAGCAGTGGCCATCAGGTTTGTGCAGGAGGAATGCACAAAGCACAGCCCTGCTCCTCTGGATGCAGAGTCACTGAGGCGGTTCTTTGGAAACCCCCTGACCAAAACAGAACTGGCGTCTTTTCCAGAGTCGATCACTTGTTGGAAATAGGAGCAAAATCCTCCCCAACAGATCTGAGTTTACAGAACAAGGGGGAATGGTTTTAAACTGAGACAGGGGAGGTTTAGGTTGGATATTAGGAGGAAGTTTTTCCCCCAGAGGGTGGTGAGGCATTGGCACAGGTTGCCCAAGGAGGCTGTGGATGCCCCAGCCCTGCAGGCATTCAAGACCAGGCTGGATGTGGCTCTGGGCAGCCTGGGCTGCTGGTTGGTGACCTGCACACAGCAGGGGTTGGAACTGGATGAGCACTGTGTTCTGTGACCCAGGCCATTCTATGATAGACCTGCTGCATCAATTTTATCCCTATCAAGCACATAAATAATGCAACTGGAGGAACATTCTTTGAGCCTTTCAGTTTTTGGGTCTAGAAGCGGTCTTCTGGGTGAATCTCCCTTTTAGTTTGCCTCATATGCAACCTGGTGACTGCACGTTTTCTTCCATCAGGGAATTCTCCTGGTGTATGACATCACCAACCGCTGGTCCTTTGATGGTATAGATCGATGGATAAAGGAAATAGATGAGGTGAGCTGCATGAAGGGCCCAGGGGCGTGCTGGCTTCCTACCAAACACCATCCCTTCACACTGGGGCTGCTGGCCCTTCTGGCCCAGGGGCCAAGCACACTGAGGGGAGGCCGGGGAGATAAATGTGGCACCAAAGTGCACAGGTCACAAAATCCAGGCTGGGGCCACCTCTGATACGGGAACAGGAGTGGTTGTGCTGTGGTTCCCTATCAAGTGAACTGTAGAGAGGAGAAAACGAATTGTCCTCGTTTATGTAGCTCTGACTGCTCAGCATCAGAGCAGCTTCTACTCTCTCTTGCTCTTCACCTCCATTGAAGTTAGGCAGGGCTGGCTGCCCTCACTAAAGACAAGCCATGATTATTTTTCCACATCTGTTTTTCTTTTTGCAGCATGCCCCAGGGGTGCCCCGGATCCTGGTGGGAAACAGACTTCACCTGGCCTTCAAACGACAGGTGCCCACAGAGCAGGCGCGGGCGTACGCTGAGAAGAACTGCATGACGTTCTTTGAGGTCAGCCCACTGTGCAACTTCAACGTCATCGAGTCCTTCACAGAGCTGTCCCGTATCGTCCTCATGCGGCACGGCATGGAGAAGATCTGGAGGCCCAACCGAGGTGGGAAGTGAGAAAAGGGAGCTGTGTGTGGGCTGGAGCAGAGGGAGCGCCCAGATGGGGTTGTGTGTGTCTGTGTGTGTCCGTGTGTCTGTGTGTGTCCGTGTGTCTGTGTGTCTGTGTGCTCATACCTGTGGGATCTGAGAGCGCCTGCCCTGGCGAACAGCCTCGAGTCAGGAGAGCTGAGCCAGAGCAAGCTGCCCGTACTGGTGCAGCTCCAGAGGGCAGTTCAGCATGTCTAGGCTCTGAACTGCTCTGGGACATCCTTACACCTCTGCATTTACTCTAGGTAAAGCTAAAGGCAATTAAGCTCACAACTTGAAAGCACTTCAATCAGATGATTGTGTGTGTGGGATGCACCAAGCGTAAGCACCTCTGTCCTTAGCCTTGTCTGAGCCTGTATCTCCTGTTCCAGAGAGATAGGGAGGCAGGGTGAGCCCAGGGCAAGGAGCTGAATGGGGCTAAACCCCATCCCTGCTGTAGGCTTGGAGCAGTGAGTTGAGGTATTCCATATATACCCAGGTCCACATTCTGTGGCATGAACAGAGCCTGCCTTATGTCTCAGCCCATTGAATTTGAAGCAAAACAGTCTTGGGATCCCCTGTTCCTAGCTGGGGGTAGCAGCATGTCTGACTGACAGGCTGGGCAGCAGGAGTTTCACACTCCCATCCGGGTGACCTTTCTTTGTCTGGGTACTCTGTTCCAGTGAGCAAGAGCAGATCCTGTGTGCTGGCCCTGCTGGCCAAATGCTCTGCCAGAATCTTTAGGACTGGAGGCAGCTTTGCTTGCTGCTTGGGAGCAGTGAGCAGCTGGAGGTGAACGTGTGCCCTCCTGTGGCCGGCTGCGGGGAAATCCCATCCCACGGGCTTCCCACAGCTCATTCATGTGGCTCAGCTGAGCTAAGAGCATGCTGGCAAGCCTTCTCCTGGCTTGAAGGGATGTTCATTACTGTGAGCACCCTGCAAAGAGCCGTCCCTGCAGCTGCTCCTCACTGAGCAGGTCCCAGGCAAGGCTGCCCTGCAGCAGGGCTGGCCACGTTGCCTCCTTCCCAGACCTCTCCTTGGGGCCAAATGGTGACTGGGAAGTGGGACCATGAGCAGGGCTGCACCAAGCAGAGACAGTGCTGCCTGAGCCCAGTGCTGGCACCAAAGCTGATGTCTTGCAGACTTGTGCTGGCTTGCAGTGCTCAGCTGCAGCCTGGGAGGCCTTTATTCCCAGGTTGTTGTTCTAACAAATGTAATTTGGTGAAGCACTGATGCAGGTTGCACAGAGAGCTGGTGGTGCCCTGTCCCTGGAGATGCTCGGGGTCAGGCTGGAGCCACCTGATGGAGCTGTAGGTGTCCCTGTTCGTTGCAGGGCAGCCGGACCAGATGATCTTGAAAGGTCTCTTCCAACACAAATGATTCCGTGCCTCTGCTCAGGGCTCCGGTGGAGTTGCCATTAGCTCTTCTCCCCTGACCAGCAAGAGCTGCACGGCATAAAGAGGTGTAGGAAGAAGGCAGCCTTGCGCCGTGTCGGCCCTGACTGTCCGCTCTCTCCTCCCCGCAGTGTTCAGCCTGCAGGACCTGTGCTGCCGAGCCATCGTTTCCTGCACCCCCGTGCACCTCATCGACAAGCTGCCGCTGCCCGTCACCATCAAGAGCCACCTGAAATCCTTCTCCATGGCCAATGGGATGAACGCGGTGATGATGCACGGCCGCTCCTACTCCCTGGCCAGCAGCGGGGGAGGCAGCAGCAGCAAAGGCAACAGCCTGAAGAGATCCAAATCCATTCGGCCGCCCCAGAGCCCCCCCCAGAACTGCTCACGCAACAACTGCAAGATCTCTTAGCAGGACGGGCGCCGTGAGCTCCGTGTGCTCCCGCACACCCATGTACAGATGTTTGCACACTGCACCCTTTCCAAGGATCCTTTAGGATGGGCCTCGGCTGCTTTCCCCGCGCTGCACGCAGGCATCAGGGATGTGCTCTGCTTTGGCCCCGGGTGTGAAGCGTGCTGCTGGCTGCAGGGGGGAGAGGACTCTGCCAGGTGACCCTCTGGGAATGCTTTGGGCTTCACCTCTCGGCCTGGGGTGGAAAATTCAGCAGCTGCCGGGTTGGGGAAGGGGAGAGAAAGGGGGGGAAAAAAAGCTCATCCCGTTTTGATGGAGAAATGGATTTAATGGCAGATTGAGAGGCTTAAGGGAGTAGGCAAGGAGAATCTGTGCTGCGGCTTTAACTCTTGGAGTCCTGAGCGAATTGCTGGTGCAATAGTGGCTGTTGGATGTAGTTGAGGAATTAAAAAACAAAGCTAAAAAAGAGAAGGGAGGGGGGGGAGAGGGAAATAAGTGACCGTTTTCACCAAGATGTTAACCTGCTGTTGCCAAAAAAAAAGAAAGCTGAACTGAAAAAGGCAGGAGTTGGCCATGAGGAGGCTGAAGGAAGCAGTCTGCTTGCCTTCTGCCTTTCTTTATGTAAATATTATACATATATATATATTATATATATATATATATCACTTGTTTTGTAAGGTGTTTTTTTTAAGAAGCAGTCAGGGAAAATTTTATGCAGCCATGTAAATAAAGCAGGGGATTAATTTAACCAGTGGCAGCCAGAGGGGCAAAGTGGAGGACGTGAAGATGAGAGTACACAAATGCTGTGAGGGACTCTGACCCACCTCATGGGTCGATAGGAGGTTTTTTGAATGCTGCATATACAGAAGGAAGGAACCATCGGTGCATTCCAGACCCCCCAAGCTGCTTTACTTTGATCATTCCATGAAGTGTGAGCGCCGGGGGCAGGCTGGGGTCGAAGCAGAGCTGAGGGGCAGAGCGGAGAGGCGGAGGTGTGGGGTTGATGCGAGGCAGCGGCGGCTCCAAGCCCCGCAGGTGCCTCATTCAGCACGAGGACGCAGAGCCAGCAGGGACCGAGGAGCCGAGTCCAGAGCAGAGGGAAGACGTGGACCGTCCTGCGTCAGTGCAAGTCTCTGCCATCCCTTCCGGAGCCCCACCTCCGCCGTGCCGCGCTCTGTGCGCTCCTGGATCCTCGCACTGCCACCCCGTGTCGGCCCCGCGCCCTGGCCTCCTGCTCTGCTTTCCCGAAGGCATCCCGCCGAGCTCCGGCTCCTCCTGGATGAAGGTGGGAAGGGACCGAGCGGCTTTTCCTGCTGGAGCGTGAAGGAGCTGGAGCGGGGCTGCATGTCCCGTGGGGGTGGTGCTCAGCTCAGGGCTGCGGCAGGAAACAGGAGGGAGCCCAGGGCTCAGCGGTGCGGGACTGCGGCGGTGCTTTGGAGGACGCGTGCTGCACTGAGATGTGCGGGGTGTGGGGGATGTCAAGCAAGGGCCTGCGCGTCTGCGGCTTCATCCCACGGCAGCGTCTTGTTTGTGCTGCCGGTTCACCTGGAGACTGAAACGCTGCCAGGCTGGGGGCTGGCAGCGTTACTGAGCGGTGCCAATGGATTCCCTGGGACAGCCACGCCGCGAGCACTGGGAGCCATCCGCGTGCAGCAGAGCAGCGCTGCTGTCTCTGTCCCGCAGCCAGCGGCTCGGGGCCCCTCTCGCACTGCGGGGCAGGATGAAGCCGCAGCGATGCTGCCGAGCTGATGCCCCTCGGTGCACGCAGCCCCCTGCAAAACAAAGCCTGGTGCCGGGGGGGGGGGGCGTTCAGGGCTTGGCCCTGGCACGCTTTATTGCCCGGCTCAAATGAGCGAGGAGAGAATTCAAGCCCTTGCCGAGGCGAGGAGAAGAATCCTTTGTAGTGCTGATTTGGCTCGAGAGCAAAGCAGCGCCGATTTCGGCACGGAGTCCGAGGGATTTCCAGAACCTGTCTGAGACGGCCGGCACCTGTTCGCCATCACTTAACACAAGGCAGAAGACAATCGCTGGCTCTGCAGCCTGGCAGGCTGGGGACATACAGCCGACAGGTGACGCACCGGCGCTGAGAGGGGCGCTCGTGGCCGCCTCCTGCCTGCAGGCACCCGGGATCCCTGCCCTCACACACCTCTGCTCGGTTCTGCTTCGGTCCCTGTGCCGCCTCCTGCTCCTTTTGCCCGAAGCTGATGTTCTTTTTGTTCCTGTAAGTCGAGAAGATCCCATCTGGAAGGAGAAGGGAAGATGGACCCGGAGTGTTTGTTCGGCCGTTTATTGTTATTGTTTTTTAATTTAAAAGGAAAAGAGGTTCTTGCATCTGATGTCAACACTAGTCTGTAGCTGCTCCCCACCACTTGTACCATTCCTGAGGGGTTTTTTTGGACTGTCCTTTTATTTTTGTATTCCTTTGTACAGTCAGTCAGTGTTGTTCAACTGATTATACATGGGTTTGTTTTGTATAAATTAAAGCCTTTTTTTGTTTTGAACTGCCAAGCAGGAGGTGCAGGAGTCGTATCTCTTTTTGGGGGAGATGCTGGGGAGGAGGAGGAGGAGGTTGTGTCCCAAGCTGGGCACGACCTGCTGAATCCAGACCCATGGAGTGGCTTTGATGGCCGCGGGGAGGCGGTGAGGCTGTGCAGCCCCAGCCATGGTGAGCCCCCCACCCTGTCCTGCTCTCAGCCCACCTCCCCATGACCTCCCTCTCCCCCTGCCCTCTCGCTGCCCCAGGATCAGATTTTCCACTTCGTACCAGACTGGCCACGCTTGTTTTAACAGCTTAAGTGTAATATTGCTGAGTCTGGGAGGGAGCCGGGGGGAAATCAGATAGCGGCTGCAGCCTGGAAAGACCTGAGCTAACGTAAAAGCCTGCCTGGGGAAGAGGCACGGAGAGCTTTTTGTTCTCCATGCTCCTCCTTCTCACTGCCCCACTTGGAAGCGGCTGTGTTGGCTTCAGGTGGGGGAAATGATGGTGGGAGCCATCCTTACTGCACCTCAGTGCGCAGAACGGGGGGTGCTGGAAAGGCAGAAGCTGTGACAGCGCCTTCAAGTGGAAAAGGTTTATCACAGGGAGGAGGATCGCTGCTTCTGCCCTAAGGGCGGAGGGGGGCTGTGCCGGTGCCCCGGAGGATGGGTGCAGAGCTGGATGTACGACGGGGAACTCTGCAGCGTGTGCTTTGGGGGCGGCACGGGGGGGTTCTCCACGCACAGGGCTGTGCGCATGGGGCTGAGCTGCAGGCCGCGGTGCCACCTCTCAGGTGCTCTGACGGTGCTCTCAGGTTGCTGCTCTGACGCAACCAAGTCCCTGTTTGCAAAATCCCATCCTGCCCGCCGCCGTCCCAGGGCAGCGTAACCTCTCCCGCGTGCTCAGGGCCGGCTCAGCACTACGCTTTATCTCCCCCGGCCGCATCCCGACCCTCCGCAGCGCCGTGTACCCGCTGGGGGGCTGCGGCTCCTCCTCGTGCCGGCCCCGCTCGGCTCCCTGCCCGCGCAGCGGCTCCTGGCACGACTCAGACGGACGGGAACCCAGGGGAGGGAGCGCGGCCGGGTTGTGCGCGGCTGTGAGGGCTTCGGGGCTCCTGGAGCTCCGGGCTGCGCTGGGACAAAGGAGCGGGGCCGCGGTCAGCAGCGCTGCAGGAGTTAACGCTCCCCCCCCCCCCCCCCCCCCCCCCCCCCCCCCCCGCACCCAGGTCCGTCTCCAGCGGGGATTAGGGCAGTCTGGCTGGGAGCGGGGCCGGCTCCTGCCAGCTTAGGGCCGGCTTCGGAGGTGCTCTACGAGCGGAGGTGGGGTTGCAGTGTCCAGCCGCGGTCTGGCACGGCCAGGCGCTGCCTTCAGGCGCTCCCCTGCTCGGGGTGCACGGCAGGTCTCAAAGCCGGGCTGTAAATCATCGGCATTTGCTTGCTGGAGCGGGGACGGGGGCTGGCTACAAACCTGGGCGCTCGTGGGGCCCTGGACGGCCGGCAGGAGCTGAGGGAACGTGGGCCTGAGATGGGGGTCGTGGCCCCACGGCGCGGCCGCGACGCCCCGCGCTGCAGCTGGAGATGCTGCGGGGCCGGGGGCTGCGGCTGCCTCCCACCCGCAGGCCCGGGGCGGGCAACAGGCTCTGGCTGTTTTCTCATCCTGCAGGAATTCGGCTCCATGGGCCGGGCATTTTTTTCCCCTCCTTTCACTCTCTCCCTTTGGAGACTTTCCGCATTCTGCCTTTGATCTCCCCCCTGTGTTTGTCCAGCCGATCGGCTCAGACGGGGTTAGAGGCTGAGGTCAGCGCCTTTTCCATTCCAAACACCCAGAAACATCAGTGAGAAGGGAGGGGATTCAGATTACAACCTTCCCGTCCTCCCCTTCCAACCCTGCCCCACACGCGCGCAGCGCCCGGACCCGCTGCTACTGCACGGCGAGCGCTGCCCGGCTGCGGGTGCCAGGGATGCGCTGAGCCCCCCCGGCACGGGGACATCGCAGCGGCCGAGGCGCTGCCGGGAGCCGCCGCTGCGACAGGACGCCGTGCCCGGTGCCCTGAGAGCTCAGCGATGGACCGAGGTGTGGGGCGGCATCTCCGGATAGACAGCGTGCACCCGGCGTGCTGAACCGCAGCGGTCTGGACATCACCTCGTCCTCCTCCTTTCCGTCTCCCGACTTTCCTTTCCGTCTCCTTCCCTCCGTCCAATGTGATCAGCCCCGAGCCTGGTGGCGAGGCGGGGGGGGGGGGCACACAGATGCCTCGCAGGAGTTTCGACCGCCCAGGACCGCGGTCACGTCCTGGCGGGCAGCAGCTCGGTGGGGCTGAGCCCATGCGCTCGGCTCTGCTCCTGCTGCTGCCCTTGCTGGCGGCCGCCGCCGGGCTGAGCCTACAGCAGGCCAGGATGCGGCACCTGGGGGTGTGCCCCAACCAGCTGAACCCCAACCTGTGGGTGGACGCTCAGAGCACCTGCGAGAGGGAGTGCCAGGCAGACCAGGTGAGTGCTGGGAGCTATGGGGAGTCAGGGGCATGGCTGGGATGGGTTTGGGTGCTGCACCCGTGGGGGGGTGGATGGGGGTGGTGAGCAGAGGGATGCTCTGGGCTGCGTTGGGATGGGGGTCCCACTGGCAGTGGCTGCAGTGCCCAGCAAACTCAGCCTCTCTGCAGCCTCACCCCAGGAGTGTGCAGTGACCCAAGTGCTTCAAGCACCTCAGCAGGCACAGGTTCAGCTTACGGCCCTGCAGCATCAGCCCTGGCTGGAACACCCCCATCACACACCCCCAGTATGCTCCCACCCAGTTACTGAGGGATGCTGGCATGCTGGGGCTGCTCCCCCTGGCCACTCAGTTTTCCCTGGGCAGGAGCACGATGCTGCCCACCTTCAGGGAGCAACTCCTCTGCAGCTCATTGCTGTAATGAGTTCTGCCTGACCTCAGCCCGTTGGAGCCCGCAGCCCCCGGGCCACAGTGCAGCACAGCCACAATGGCAGGAATGGCCCACATCCAGGCTGGGCGCCTGTGGAAGCCCAAAGCCCTGTACCACTGTGCTGTGGGGGCCATCACTGCTGCTCTTCACTCCCACCCGTCAGCAGGGCTGAGGTGGAGCTGAGTGCTGAGTCAGCCTGGAAATGGTGGTGGGGGGCTGGGAGGGAGCTCCGTGTGGCTGGGAGCATCCAGGTCAGGGTTAGGGTTGGTGTTGGGATCGGCACCGGGGTTAGCATGAGGGTTGGTGTTGGGGTGCTGACCGCCGTCCCCTCCCGGCCAGGACTGCGAGGGCTTTGAGAAGTGCTGCACCAATGTGTGCGGGCTGCGCAGCTGCGTGGCCGCACGCTTTGCCGACGGCAGCCTGCTGGCACTGGAGCTGGGCCGCGGGCCGTCCTGCGAGAGCTTCGTGTGCGCCCAGCAGGGCTCCGACTGCGACATCTGGGACGGGCAGCCGGTCTGCAAGTGCAAGGACCGCTGCGAGAAGGAGCCCAACTTCACCTGCGCCTCCGACGGCCTCACCTACTACAACAAGTGCTACATGGACGCCGAGGCCTGCCTGCGTGGCACGCGCCTCACCACCGTGCCGTGCAAGCACATCTTCACCTGGCCCGACACCAGCCCTGTGCCGCGCGAGACCACGGCCCGGCCCACCCCAGGAGCGGGCCCCGAGCCGCCGGTCCCTCCCGCGCTGTACAGCAACCCCTTCCACCAGTCGGTCCGCGCCGGTGGCACCGTCAGCTTCCGCTGCGACGTCAGCGGCCGCCCGCGGCCCGACATCACCTGGGAGAAGCAGAGCGAGCGCGCCGAGAACTTCATCATGCGGCCGGACCAGATGTACGGCAACGTGGTGGTCACCAACATCGGGCAGCTGGTCATCTACAACGCGCGCCACGAGGACGCCGGCATCTACACCTGCACGGCCCGCAACGCCGCGGGGCTGCTGCGCGCCGACTTCCCGCTGTCGGTGCTGAAGCGTGAACCCGGGGCGGCCCCGCGGCCCGGCAGCCCCCAGCCCTTCCCCAGCGCCGAGTGCCTGAAGGAGCCGGACCGGCGGCGCTGCGAGGCCGCGGAGGTGCGCTGGCACTTCGATGCCAAGCAGGGCTCCTGCGTCACCTTCCGCTACGGCGGCTGCGGGGCCAACAGGAACCACTTTGAGACGTACGAGGAGTGCCGCGCCGCCTGCGTGGGCAGCGCCCGGCCCACCTGCCTGCTGCCCATGGTGCAGGGACCCTGCCAGAACTGGGAGCCGCGCTGGGCTTACAACTACATCCTCAAGCAGTGCCACTCCTTCGTCTACGGCGGCTGCGAGGGCAACAACAACAACTTCGACAGCAAGGAGACGTGCGAGGACGTGTGCCCCTTCCCCAAGAGCCTGCAGTGCAAGGCGTGCCGCCTGAAGAGCAAGATGGTGCTGAGCCTCTGCCGCAGCGACTTCGCCATCGTGGGGCGGCTGATGGAGATCGTGGAGGACCAGGACTCCGGCATTGCCCGCTTCGCCCTCGAGGATGTCCTCAAGGACGAGAAGATGGGCCTCAAGTTCTTCAATATCAAGTACCTGGAGGTGACGCTGATCGACATGGACTGGAGCTGCCCCTGCCCCAACATGACGGCCGAGGATGGGCCGCTCATCATCATGGGCGCCGTGCACGATGGCATGGCCACGCTGGATCCTGGCAGCTACGTGCGGGCTGCCAACGACAAGAGGGTGAAGAAAATCTACGAGCTGATGGAGAAGAAAACCTGCGACCTCCTCAACCGCTTCCAGGATTAGGGCCGGGCCGTGTGGACACGGGCTGCAGAGCCCAGGGGGAACCGTCTGAACCCACAGCTTTTACTGAGCGACGATCACCATTCTGCAGCTCCATCCCTGTAACTGCCACCCCGTGTACCCCCAGCCCAGACAGCAGCAATAAAGAGCCAGGTGGGGTTGCAGAGGAGTCTGCCCAGACCTCCCCACCCCGTGATACCCATCCCACAGCACTGAAGCCCACAGCATCACCTGGTTCTGATGGACCCCAAGCCATCACCCAGGTGCTGTGGTGCAGCACTGCATTTGTGACACTGCTCCTTTCCTGCACAGCGTGACATGCCGTGCCCCCTCACCACAAGGCATGGTGTTTCACAGCCTGTGGAAGATGAGGCTCTTGGTGTTGGCCAGTGTGTCTGCCTGAAAGCACCTGCAGGCGTGGGGGTGCATTGCCAGCACGAGGAGAACCTCCTGGAGCCCAGCACCCACCGTCTCTCTGGTCTCCACCAGCTGTTGCAGCAGCACTGCATCCCACAGACCACCAGCAGGGTTGCTGCGGGGGAGAGGGGGGCTGGTCAGATAGATGGATGGACAGATGGATGGGTGGATGGACAGATGTGGAGGCAGAAGCTTCATCCTCAGGGCTCCCCAGTGCTGCCCTGTCTCCCAGAGCTGCCCTCATCCTCCACTTTAGGACTCTTCTCAACTGCATGCTGTGGGCAGTGTGTGTAGGATGATGGGCAGTGCATGTGGGGTTGGAAGGATGGACGGACAGGGCCACCAGCAGCTCCAGGCAGGCTGCTCAGACTCACAGGCCCCCATGTCCCCCCCCTCCCTTGAGGATCCCACCTCGATTGAAGCCCACACAGCTCTGAGGGGAGATGTGGCCTTCCACAGCCTACAGCTGCCAGGACATGAAGCCGGAGCTGCAGTCCAAGCCATGGCTGCCTGCTGCCCCCCAGTCCCTCTCCCCATCCCTGTTGCACAGAGGCCAATCAAGAAGGGCCACAGCCCCTGAGGGGAACCTCTCCTCTGTGCCCTGCTCCTCCACAGTGCTTTGGGGGTGATGCAGGAGTGCTGCTCCCCAGCCCACGGCACCCTTTCTGGTCCTGGGGCACATGGCCAAAGCAGCCCCTATGCAGGGCTCACGGCACGCCCCGTAATGCTGATCCCTCCCCACTTGTGCCCACCTTTTTCCATTGCACAGTCCCTGCTTGGGGAACAGCTCCACATCAGCCCCAGGCAGGGGATGCTCCCACACCCAGAGCCTCAGCTGCCAGCAGCATCTCCCAGGTGGGATCTCTGATGTCTCATAATAAGGCTGTGCTTGCAACACCACCATGGAGGGATGGCAGCTCAGCATTGCACAGGGCACCCCCAGCCCTGTCCCAGTGGGCTTCAGGATCCTCAGCCCCAAATATGGGGATACGGAGAGGGCCCTCAGCCTGCACACTGAACCTCTGCCCCAGCCCAGGGATGACTTTTATAGCGGGGCTCCTGTCGTGGTGATGAGGAAGGACACGGCTGTGCCTCACCACGGGCAGCTATTTCTGCCCCTCTGCACCAGGCTGCTCCAAGGGCAATATTTCTTGGTGAGGAATTCCTCCCCACTTAAGAGCCCGCGTTTATTTTTGTTTCATCAATGGAAACTGATCCCTTCCAGCTTGGTGCTGCAATCCCTGGAATGGACATCTGGGTGCGACTCGGGCCTGAGCACATCGTGCAGCAGCCGAGAGGGGAGCAGGGCAAGATGTAGGGCTGGGAGCAGGGCATGGTGCTGGGC